GAGGTGCATCCAGCTTTACCTGGCAGTGGTGATCTGGGTCCCCTCACTCAGATCCAGCAGTCCCAGTTCCCAGGCAGTGTCTGTGTGTGTCTGCCCATCACCAGGGCTCAGCTGCACCTTTTCCAGCCACCTGCAAGGGAGTTTGGGAGTCCCCCCCTCCACTCATTTGGCAAGGACCTGACCTGCACTTGTTCCTGGCAGGACTGGGCTGAGGCTTAGAGGTGAGCTGGGGCACTGGCCCAGGAGTCCACGAGAAGCCTCACTGAGCACATTTGTGGTATGAAGTGAAAAAGAGCATTGGAAATTTATCCTTCATCTGGCTTCCTAACCCATCCCTGGGAGACTGGGACTTCCCTCTCAGTAGGGGCTGAACAACTGGGAGACACACAGGTCACCAGTTCCCTAATCTGAGGTTCACCTCCTCCTCCCCAGAGGGGTTGGGTAGCAGGAGAGATCTCCTAAGAAGCTCATCAGGCATCCCACTGCCCATCATGGCCAAAACCAGGGCCGCAGACCATGTTGTGAGGAGGAGAGTCTGCATGAAGGCCAGCACAGCTCAGGACACCCTGCCCAGCATGCTCCCAGTTCAGTGGCACTGAGACCGTGGCACGAGAGACCATGGGAGTTGAGAAGGTCTCTTTCCTGTTCCTCATGGCATCTCCTGCCAGGGCCAAGGGTGCTGCCAGCTTTGTGCCAACACACGGGCAGGAAGGTCTGGTGGCTGTAAGGGGGCAGTGGTGGTGCCACCAGCAGTTCCACATCTACTGGACATGTGCCCACAGCTGTTTTGGGGGATGGACTGGGTAATCCCTCTTCCCAAAAAGCCATGGAAGGGCTGCTCCTGCAGCCAGGGGCTGTACAGGCCATGCCAGGGATCCTTGTGTCCCAGCACTTGGATGGGGTCACCACAGCTCATGGAGGCACACAGGCTGTGACACCAGCAGGGCTCCAGGGTACATGTCCTGGTTCCAAACAGGATCCTTCACTCACTGAGACACTTCTCAGGGTTTCTCTCTCCTTGATCACCTTTCCCGGGTGTTTTGCTCTTACCCAAATGTTGCTGCTTCAGGAGCTTCTTTCTGTTTGTGAATATTTAGCCCTTAGTAGAGCCATGGATTTTTAAAATCCAAAGGTCATTTCTAGGTCACTGAATAATTACTATTGCTGTTTCTACTGTCACTAATTCCATCACAGAGAAGCAGCAGCTTGCTGAGAAATCCTTGAGCTGCAGGCTGAAAACAGAGGGAAATTCACCACAGAAAATGCAAGATTTGGAGCACTTAGTGCCACGGGCTGTTGGAAAGAGAAGCAGGGCCAGGGGACATCAAAGCTGGGCACAGGGATTCCCTTCATCCCTGCTGCTCCCCACGTGGGACTCAGCTCATCCTGCACACGATGTTACTTTCAGAGTGCTCAGCACAATGAGGAGGTGCCTGCAGCCCCTTTGTGCAGGTCTGGGCTGTGGGGTTTTGGGTCCTTTCTTGCAGCCTCTGGTCAAAGCACTGAGCTGGTCACAAAGTCTGTGGGGACTCAGTGTTTGCTGTGAGCCAGGGCAAACCCTCACAGGTCAGGGGGAACTACCAGCTGGAGGGAAAGCTGTTGCTGTTCATGGGATCAAGGAATGGTTTGGGTTTGGAAGGGACCTTAAACTCATCTTGCTCATGGCAGGGACATCTTGCTCTAGACCAGGCTGTTCCAAGCCCCATCCGACCTGGCCTGGAACACTCCCAGGTACTGGGCAGACACAACTGCTCTATTGCTGCTAGAGGTTATTTTTTTTGAGGAGCAACGGGATCTTTCAGCTGCTTAGGATTATGTAGGGATAGATTCACTGATGGGGAAAGTGAGGGGGTGCATCACCAGCTGGTGGGGGAACATCTGACTTCCCTCACTCAGGAAAGCTTTAGGGACTCTCTAAGAGCAGGAATTGCTCACTCTGGGCTGGAGCAGCTCCTCCTGTGTTTACAGGAGCCCAGCGCTACACTGGGCCATTGACTGCCCTTGTGATGGTCAGGATGTCATTTCACCCCTCAGTGCGGCATGCAAAGCTTGGCAAGGTGCTTTTCCATGACCATTCCTGAGAGATAGACTGCAGGTTCATTCCATGACTAAGATGAACAGCCTCAGCTGGGAATCCTTGTGGGCTGTGAGCTGTGCTGGATGTTACAGCCCTTGTTACTTGTCTGTCTCACATGGCAGGGCAGGGAGAGGCACTTTGGGCACCTCCTTCTTCCAGTTTTAGTACAGTTCAGTCTTTCTGGTCAGTCCTGGGAATGTTTGCTCTGGCTGCAATGGATGCAGGCTGGCTCAGGGAGACCCTTCTGTGAGGAAGAGCAGAGGGAAGCGCAGGGAAGCAAGCGTCTGTTGTAGGGTCAGTAGGGCTGAGCTGGGTTCTGCTGCTCAAAACCAGTCCCCTCTGTTTTCCCACTGTGTTTACAGCTCTCCCAGGGCATCCTTGTCAGGGTCAAGCTCTTCCAGGCATCCTTGGCACTGAGCTTTGGCTGCCTCATGCTGACAGTTTCCCCAGCAGCCCGTGCCTGACGGCAGCCCGGGGACAGGCAGCTGCTGCCAAAGGCTCTGGAGCAGCCGGCCCCTCCTGTGCCCCAGCTTGCCCAGGGGTGCAGAGCAAAGGCTCCCCAAGAGTCACTCTGCCTTCTTCCTTGCCTGGCAGCAGCAATCACCCTCTGTTCTTGCCTTGGCTTTTGATTGCCAGGCCAACTTGGATGTTGGATATGTTATAAAATTCCCCACTTTCAGAACATCCATATTTTAGACTTGGAGAAACAAATCCAGGACAAAATAATTCAAGTATTCCTTTCACAGTTCCCATGCTCTGCTGGGTTGAAAGGGAAGCTCATAGGAGATGGAACAAGTTCGTGTCTATGCCTCTTCACTGCAAATATGCATTCCTGGAAATCCAGGCAGTCTTTATTCCCAACACCTGCATGGCAGGACTGGGAAGGATTGGGCAGCTACCAGTTGGCTTTTGAGTCACTTCTCCATGTGAGCAGCAGTGGTGGAAGCAGCAAAAATACCTTCTCTGTATCCCTAGTTCAGGAATGCCACCCTGGGGAATTTCCTTTTATCTTGAATAACCTACTTCAGCCAATTCCCAGAAAAGTCGCAGGTTGTCTGCAATGCCAACCAAACCAGCACGGAAGGAATTGCTTTGGTTGGGAGCCATCCTGTGAGGCAGGGCCAGCTCAGGATGCTCCATATCTGAGTTGCTGGAGCATTGCCCCATCCACTACAAACAAATTGGAGCAATCACTAACCCCAAAACTTTGTGACCAGAGTTTTTGTCTGACGTTTCAGTTTAGTTTTTGCTTTAAGCATTAAAATGAGCAGCGGAGACATGAGAGACAGTGGGATCAATGCTGAAGGTCGTTCCTGTGTGCTAGTGGGAGATTAAACTAAAGAGGAAGTATTTTCTTCCAAAATAAGGGCCTTTCATGGCTTGGCAAGGTGTAGAGCAGCTGTTTCCTGCTTCTCAAGCACCAGCCATTGGCCAGTGGGTATCAGCTTGGAGAGGCATCTGGCCCAGATAAGTTTCCTGATGTTACTCAGACAAATGGAGCCATTTCGTCAGTGTGCTCAACTCCCCCCAAAGCAGAAAGCAAATTTCTAGGAATGTACTGCTCATAACTATGGGCTAGCTCACAAAGGAGATAGAGATGTGTGTAAATCCGCTATTCAGAGGAGTAAGTGAGAGCAGAATAATTTCCAGTGTGGTCTAATGGCTGAGCTGCTGCAGTGAAAGGCCCAGGGAGAGCTGGGGTGGTGCTGCAGGGCCCAGGGATGGATATCTCAAACCTTTCCAAACCAGCGAGGGAAAGAGGAGAGGGAAGGGCCAGGGGAAGGCTGGGGGAGACACTGTCCATGTACATGGAGCAGGGTCTGGGCTCACCCCTCCCCAGCCAGCAGAGCGAGTGTGGGGTGGGACGGGAATCCTGCCCTGAACATGAAGCGTGAAATCCATGTCCAACAAAAATTTCAGCGAGTGCATAATGTAAGCACTGGATGGGTTTGTAGCCAGGGCTGTGGTGCTGAGAGCGTTGAATTAAACATGGGGTGACTCAGCGCTCGTCCGCGCCAGCCTGGGAGCGGGGAGTGCGGGGACAGGTGCATTATTGATAGTTTCATTTTCCCCAGGTTTCAGTGCCTGGGAGAAAAAGCAGCGTCTGCAGCGCTTAGAGGGGGACACGGTGTGGCCAGACTCGGCATTTGCAATGCCTGCCTGCTCTTCTGCTGCTCCTGGTACAGGGATTTCTGTATCCAGCATCTCCCTCCTGCCCTTCTCCACCTGCAGTCACCCTGGGCGGGAGCACCAAGGCAAGGCAGCCCCATCCTCCACCGCCGGAGCTCCAGGGAGCTTTGGGAGCTGCACAGCTGGCTCTCCCACATCAGAGAGCGGCCCTTGGGGCTGGGAAGGGGTGAGAACCCCTGGATTTGCCTTTGGCCTTGCTGATGATCCAAAGCCCTCATCTGCCTCAGCCTCTGGTGACTGAGCAGGGGACAGGACCGGGAGCACAGGGTGTTCCAGCAGCCTTGGAACAGCAGGAAGTAGGACCAAGCTGGAACTGAGTGTGACAACTCATTACCTCACAGGAGGATGTTCTGCTTCTATCCCCTATTCTACCTCTATCCCTTTCTGCTAAAAAACCCCATCCTGTGTCTCCAGGCCCCAGGCCTCAGCCTGGTGAGAACCGTGGGTAGCTGCGAGTGCTGCAGGGCTCAGAGCATCCTGCTCCAGCTCAGGTGTTTGGGATGTGAAGGGAAAGCCTCATGGAAGGGGTTGGAAAACGTGAGCTAGCACTCCTGTCAGGCCTTGCAGGGAGAGACATGGTTTGCCTCTTCCTCAGAACCTAATCTGAACCACAAGGAGGCAGTGAAAAAAAACCAAAACCTGCTTTGGAAGATTTTAAAGAACAGCACGAACTAAAAAAGCAGCTGCCAAACCAAATTTCCATTATTAAAAATCAGCACTGATAAGAGCCATCTTAGATCAAATAATTTATTTAGTAATTCCATGTAAACACTTCAGATTTACTAGCAAATACAATGCTTGCTGTTCTTTTAAATAGATCATTCAAAAAATAAGAATCTATTATTAATGGCAGGTTGACTAGAGATCTCCATACTACTGTACAATAAGGAATTGGTTTTCTAATGGATTTAACATCTCGATTTTTCTTGTTCTGCATTTGCTTTACACAAAGCCCAAAGGACACAGGTTTGAACTGCTCCCTGACGATGCCACTGTGGCCCAGGGTGTTTTGGGGAAGGTACGCAGGCAACTCCTCCCATCCTGGCATTGGTGTGAGCTGATGTGAGGGTGGGATGGCAGAGCTGGCGTGAACACTGTTCACAAACACACGCCTTTTCGGTCAGAAAACAGACAGTGAACGGTGGAGAACTTCTCTTTGGGATGTATAAAAGCAACGAACTCCATCGTTGGCATTTACTTATCAACACAGCAGTACACATACACGTATCCACAGTCTGGAAAAGCATCCTATGAGCTGGAGAAAGCAGTGGTTCTGAGGCTTGGTACACCAGTGCACTAAAACCAAAAGAATGATACCTTCTTACATAGTCAAATGAAAAATAAATATCTTTATTTTCTGCCTACTTTATTTCAGTTTTCAAATAAATTTTAAATAAATCTGTACAAAGTATACTGTTACAGTATATATTTGTAAGTGAACTGAAATGCCTAAGTGTAACAACACTACAGGAAAGCAGTAAAGATTGGCACATCTCTAATCAAGATTAACTTTTACACTCAAAAAATACCAACGCCTGTGAAAACCTTCAAGATATTTTTGGTATTTTTATGCAAGTTGCGTTGCAAACACATGACAGACCAATTCTCCCCTGCCTTGAAAAGAAAATCACTTCTCATGGTTTTCAGAGAACATGAACATCTTTATGATGCTAAAGGGACACCATCAGGTGAAAAGAGAGAGAGAGATTTCAATTCTTAAAAAGCAAACGCTTTGGTCAGAAAGGGTCAAAAGTTGGAGACTTTGTGCACTTTTGCCCATCTCCCCGAGCTGCGGCTGCAGCCGGCGGGACTGCGGGAGCACCGGGACCGCCGAGAGCCCTCGGAGCGGCCGGAGTTCCGCCCCTGCCCGGGTGAAGCTGCTCTGGCCAGGGACCCAAAGGCTCGGGAGAGGAGCTGTTCCCCTTGCGATCCAAAAGGAATTAACACGCGTGCCGCAGGGCCGCACTCTGCGCTTTCTTTTTCCCCCCAAAAAAAGCAAGAAACTGAAATTGATCTGACAGTGTCCCTTTGCTCAAAATAAAGACTTCTGTGCTAGAGAGGTCAGGTACTGAAACAAACTTTTTCACAGGGTCAAAGAGCCAAGTACATCTCAAAATTCAAGTTTTCAAATCCAACTGCAGTTATTAGATTCATGAGCTCTCAAAACCTCCTAATATTTCGTTAAATAATTCCCAACTGGGAATTGGGGATAAATACTACAGATTAAGAGCGAGATTTTTCTCTCTTAATCTTTCCAAAGATATATTCACTCAAAGTTTACATGCTGAAAGTTAATCTTACATTAGAATGTAATTGGCTGCAACATAAACCTATAAATAAATCAACTACCATAGATTAAACTCTGTTAAATATTTCTAAGTTAATAAAATATTGACAGTATTATAAAATTACAGTATTTACAATAAGAAAAATCTAGACTAATATATACCTTATAACAGATCTCTTCTCCAATTTGGGATTGCAACGGAATTATGAATATATGAACAATTTATTAGAAAGTTGCATTGCAATTATCAGGTTTTCCATTAGAGCTAGAGAGGGTGAGCTATCACTGCCTTTGGAAAAAACAAAAAGTGACTTCTGATGGTGGGGTGTAGCTTTTGAGTACCAAACTGGTAACAGGAGTCCTCCGCAAGACGTCTGAAGATAAGGTAGGACCAGCCTCAACTGCTCAGATTAAGGTTGTATTACAGAACTGCCAGCAATCAGAACCACCCAGGCTGCAAAAGGGGAGGAAAGGTAGTTTTCAGCTCAAAGTGCACAGCTGGAAGGGCTCCCCTCATTCTGGACTCCAACTAAGGCTGCAGGAGCTTCGATCTGCTCTCAGGAACAGCAAAACCCTCAGCTCGGGGTTCGTGAGGAGGAAACGAGCCACGGTGCTCCTTAAAGGGACATAGTTGGGCTGCAGCTATGCCAAAAACACCCTCGTCAACCAAGTATGACAAAACCAGAATGGGCATTTCAGATGCTCTTTGACTTGCTTTTTTAGGGTTTTTTTTGGGAGGGAGGGTCAGGGATGGGCTTTGGTTTGGGTTTGTTTTTTTTTTTTTTGCATTTTGTTCGCTTGGGAGAAAAAAATTGGATGGGACCATGCAGTCAACTGATTTTCTATCCCTCATCAGGTTCTTTGTTTTCTGGGGTATTAACAAAATGTGCAGTGTTTGGGTGGCAAATACTTGTGGGGAAAAAGGAGACTTCAACACTCCCAAGTCAATTTTTCTTGGGATAAACCAAAAGCAATTTGAGTCCTTAAAAATTGCCAGCTGCTTTTGGGGTCTCAGACACCCAGTGATGTCCTTTTAAGGATCAGATCTTTCACTTGCCCTTTTCCCCAGCCTCGGAGGAGGAGTTTACAATGAGTTTAGGAAGAGCCATGTTCACATTCTCTCCCTCCTCCCCATGTCACATTTGCTTTCTAGAAAAAAAGGGGGAGAAAAGTAAGTTTCAAACTCCTTTCCCTCCCTTCCCTCCCCCAGTCCTGCTCCCAGTAAACCAGAAATGGCAGTTTTTCGTGTATATTTTGGGATAAATTATTTTCTCAGCCCCAAGCCTGAAGATGCTAGTGAGAGACCTACCCCCAGGCTTTGGAGAGGAGGAACAATTTAGGGGTTTCTACCAGTTCCCGTGGTGGGCAGGCAGGAACACCTCTGTCCTTAAAAGCAGGATTTAAAATGGTAAAAGAATAATTTGTAAACTCGGATCTACGTTACCAACAGAAGGCTCTAGGTCCTGCAGGCTCCAGTTCCCAGAGGTGCAGAGCAGGAAAACTAGAAAGAGAACTCGGTACCTTTCAACCACCTGCTGGGTTGTACTGGGGGGGAGTGGGGAATGAGAGAGACAAAATGCCAACTGACCTTATAAACAAAGGTATGTTTAGGGCTTCTGGTTTCAGGAATAAACCGATATTTACTGGTAAAAGTCTGCCAAAAAACAAAAACAGAAACACAGGATTACTGGTAAATATTGGTTTATATGGAGAATTAAAAAAAATATTAAAAAGAAAAAATAAAAAAAAAGAGATGTCATCGTGCTCCTGATCTCCAAGTGCTCCCAGGCAGGAGCTGAGAACCGACCCATGGCATCCCTGCACCTGGCAGTGTCTCTGGCACCTGGACACCTCAAACCAGAAGCCTTGTGTTGAGAGGAAAATCGTGTTTGTTTCCTTTACTCCCCTTAAACTACGTGTTTCTGGATTCCCCCCTCCCTCCTCTGCAAGGCTGGTCCTACAGGGGCTTGGCTCAGGAGATGGGAAGTCTGCTTCCAAAAGCACTTGGAAGTGAATTTGTACATAATATGGTATCTCAGCACAAGGCTGCTGAGGCCTGAGCCTCGGCTGCTCCCTGAGATACCATAAAATATACAAGACTGAGTGTATATTTTAAATAAAGCATTTTCTTTTAAGTGGCATAAACCCATTCATTTTATTTACATGCTTATTTATTTCCAAAAATAGAGTTGGTCCACATTGGACAAGAGAAATCAAGAAGCCATACAGTAGAAGAGTTAAAAGTCCAACATTTAACCAAAGTACAATGAAATTCCAGAAGTCTGTGGCTGACTTGAACCACAGAAACATACACATGAGCCACACAGACATTTGTACATAGAGCATTATATTACCAATAATATTTGCAAACATGAGGTCAAGATGGCTAAAAACCCAGCAGGACTGACCCGGGGGTCCTGGCTGAACAGAAGTGGGTGCTGAGGGGCCGTCACTGCTGTGGGGAAACACAACTCTCCAGAGATTTTGCTTCACTTTTGGTTTTTTCTTTAACCGAGAAAGTCCTAATTTTTTTGCCCTGGGGATCCAAATTGAGGACACGGTGAAAGCCAACCCCACGGAGCTCCCTAAATGCCGGGGTGCCGGGGGCTCAGGCCTGTGGGACAGCGCGGATGCCGCACGGCACCGGAACCCCGCTGGAGGGCAAAACCCTGCCCTCTGCTTTTTGGCCTTAAAGATCACCTGGAAAAGAAAAAGTAGGGATTTATACCCTTGCGGTGTGCTGAAAAAAGTCTGGATGGGGTTTGCCTTGAAAACAAGGATTTCCCTCCCTTGCCATGGGCAATTTTTGGCATTAGTTATTCCAGTCCTATCTACCTTTCCTGGAAGACCACAAATATCCTAGAGGATGTTGCACCGACAGATGAGGGAAAAACTTTTTTACATTAAAAAAAAACAAAAACAAACAAAAACTTGGAGGATGGACAGCAGAAGAAAAAAAACCAAATGGAAAAGATGCCTTATCTCTGCATGAGGGCCCAGCTTGTCTGGGTATGTCCATGGACCTCACCATGATAATATCTCAATGTCTCCAAAGGATGGAAAAGCAGACTTAAATCTGTATGTCCTGCTGCAGAGAATCACAGCAAGTAAAAAGGGGGAAGACAGTTGTAGCACTTCTGGTACTTCTACAAACAACCCACTACACGGGGTAGAACCACACGAAAAGGGTATAAATTAATTTTCCTTTTTCAAGTCATCTTTGACACTCACACTATTAAGCCTAGTCCAATGTGAATGCTAGTACAGAGCTAATGTACAGAATACCAGCGATAATTATTGGTACCTAACAGGATTTAAAGGTGAGTATACTCAGTACATTTATTAAAAAACACTATTACCAGAACGCCAGAGCTCTGACAGCAGTTACACAAAGCAGCCGTGCAGGTCTCTACGAGGACAGAGCCTTTAGCACAAGTCGCTATGATCATCTGAGCCTGTGACAGACAACTCGATCTTCTAATTTGTTTCCTAGAACATTTCTAATCGCAGATGTGAAATACATTTTAAAACAGAGATGGGCCTGATCCTGTGCAGTTGGGTACGTACAACACACCCCAATGAAACTCAAAGCCCAAATTCCTAAAGAGAGAGCACAAGAAATTGTTGTCTTACATCAAATAACTATCATGCAAGCATACCACGACGGTTTTATATTGAGTAGTTCAAAGTCAGCTGGTATAATTTACCTAAAAGTGAGCAATCTAATGGATTTCCAGGGGTAGGGACAAAGGTTGTGCCAGTGACAACCACCTGATTACCAGGGAGAGCAGCACAGGGACAGCGTGGGGGTCTAACGAGCTGTGGTACAGAGGAGCTCCTGCTCAGCAGCCTCACAGACCTGCACCTACACCTGGAATATGCAGGATTCCTGTGGCAGGCTGCACACCTTCACTTCATTTGTCTGCTACCCCAATCTGAGCTCTACTTCCTGAGTGAACAATTCACTTACAGCTTGGCATACTGCTGGAGCATTAAAAATAGCTTTTTTCCCCCCCCAACCTGTTGCCTGTTGCCTCACACATCCCAGGGTTAGCCCCATGCTCACCCCACCAAACCTTATGCTCTTCTCAATTTTCCAGCCACAGCCAGGTTGGGTCACTTCTCCAGTATGACTCAACCACCCTGCTCCTTGTCTTTAAACATAAATTCTGACTGAAAGCAGAGGTGCCTGCAGTTATCCTGATTCTATTGCAATCTCCAACGACTTATCAAAGCACTCACTCTTTGGTACCGTGATCTACTGGAGACAGGGAAAGTGGGGGAAGACAGAGTATTTGCCATGATTCCTAGACTTTTAAGAAGCCTAAAACAGCCAGAGCAGCAAAAGGTTGCTGTGGCTGACACCTGTTACCTGTGGGTTCTCCTGGGTCTCTTGGGAAGAGAGGTAACACAGGTCTGCATGTGTCCACACCAACAACCCTCCCACAAAGACAGATCTAGGCAAGAACTGGAAGATGGTGTCCAGACCTCTATCCCTACTCCTTAATTTTCTGCCCATTATAAAAATCAAGACCTTTGAGTTTTTTCTTAGTAAAAAGAAAAGAAAACAGAACATATCCACAGTATCAGCTGCTGAGGCAGATCTGGGATCTGGCAGACCTGCAAGTCCAGCTCAAGGCAGGAATTTGAGCTGGGGGTGTTGCTTTACAGGAGAAATCTAGATATTACCCAGTATTCTGGGCTTGTTTCTCCCCTGAGACCAGACTTTGCAACCTGGACCTAGTGGTGTCCACCACAAAAGTTTCATGAAAATCAACCTTTCTAAACCCAGCAGCTTTGGGTTTAATGAAACCATTGAATGGAACTCATTTGCTCGAAGGCTGAAGATGCAGATTTGGAAGCCTTTAATCACCTTCTCTTACTAGACTTTAGTCTACTTTTTGCTCCCCAAGTGACAAATATCAACTGCAACCAAAGAAGGACTCTGTGGTATTTCTCTTCTCATTACAAGACTGTTTTTTATCCTGCTGTTTATCAATGTGTTCAGACATTCTCGTAGGTGCCCCAGCAAACCAGACTGATCATAGAATCAAAGAATGGATTGGGCTGGAAGGGATTAGCTGGTCCAACCCCCTTTCTCTGCAGAAAGTATGCTGCTTTCCACCTCTCACACACTGAAGAACTAAAGCACTTCAGCTCCTTCTCAAACTGGAGTTCAGGGTTGCTGATCTGCAATTCCCAGTGCCCCAATTAATACTTTAATTAAAAAAAAAGAATAACCTGACATTAGGACATTATCTAGTCATGGAGAATACTAAGCTGTTTTTTGACAGCCCTGTTTTTGTTAGTACCTGTTTCAGTCCCAAGCTTTTTTAAAATCTCTTGATAAACCTGTTGCTCCTCCACTTGAATTTCCTACATTGCTCCAGCATCTCTGCCTCACTTGAGTTTCAGAGGAAGGCTCCTTATCTCACCCAAAAGGCTGAGGTGATGGACAGCAGGCTCTGAAACACGCCCTGTGCTCCAGAATGACAAGGAGGAGTCGCTTCAGTGGCATGAAGCAGTGCAGGAAATTAATTCTGTCTTCAGTCCTGCACAGCCAGATTTTCTCCCCAGCCTTGTCTGGGATGTCCCTCAGACAGCATTGGCTCCCCAAAGCTCCCAGCTCAGCAAAGCCCCTCCTAAACTGCTGCATTTCCATGGTTACCTGCCCCACCACATGGCTCTTCCAGTCTGCTCCTCTAGAGCTGGACTTCTGTTCTTTGGTGGAATCTTCCTGAACTCCAGAAGTCCCTTCCTTTATAACTGTTTTTAACCACAGTTTTAGGGTCATTTGCTCCTTCACGACAGAGTTCTGCCTCACCTGGATGTCAGTAACCTTCCCAGGTATCCATGGTAAGTCTAAGGATTTCATTTTTATGATATTCTCCCTTAAAATATTTTGGAACACAAGACTCACTTTTAGTCCACCTTCAACCCCTGAGAATGCTGAACCTGCAATTCAGTGACCCTCACGTGGTCACTGCTACTTAACGACTCAACAATAATTGTATCTTGAATCAGTTCTCGTGTTTTAGTCCTAAACAAAGGCTAACTCTAGACTAGGCTGTTACAAGAAATGGTCCTTTAAGTAAATCAAGATGTTTGCTCACCAAAATGTTAGGCAGTTCCCTCCCAAACAATCTGGCCAGATAGCATGGTAATGATGGAACTTACTTTTTCTAACAGGTTTATGAAGATGCATGAGTCTGGTTTTTCCCCAAGGCTCATGAAATCCTCTACTCTCCTTTTGTCTGGAATAGAAAACTTCCTAATACCTCCATGTTATTAAAATACAGAGTTTATATCCAACATAAATGTGTCTGTTTGGTCATCAGCACTCCAATTTCCTCAGATTTTACAGCAACCTTTCAGATGTAGTGTTCCTCCTTTATGACCTAACATACCCGCTACAATGGCAGGTAATGCAGTATCTCATTGATTTCCATCACCCCCACCACGTTTCAATCAGACCAGCTGAGGTCTTTTTTCATCATGAGCAGTCTACAACAACTATTTTTGTCTCCTGTTTCCACCCCGTTGTGCCCATTCCTTACTCCAGCCCAGTCCCTCCTGTGCACACAACTCCGCTCCCAAGCCCCGACAGCCTCATCCTCCCAGCAGCTGTGCTCAGTCTGTCCTCCCCAAACCCTG